AGCAAAATATAATAAATAACGACTCGCTAGGTCAGCATCAGGGATATAAAATAGGCGAATGTAATTATTGATTTTGTTTTATGCATGAATATATACGCTACTTTCCTAATGAATTTTGTGTCAATCAAAGCAGTATTTGTTGATTTTTTTGCATTTTACATCTTCGTGCTTAACTTTTGGAAGTGAAAAAGTTTAGATATCACAGTATGAGTTATTACTAAAGCTGTCATGTATTGATAAAACATGTGGTGATGAAAGCAAAATATAATAAATAGACTCTCTAGGTTGGCGTCAGGGATATAAAATAGGCGAAAATTTTTTTGAGATGCCAAGTAGATACTCAGCTATAGATCCAAATTATTAATCTCACAAATTTATGCTTACATAATTATTTTTCAATAACGAGGTATTTTAGTTAATGCCTAAGTGAAATTAAGAATCAAAATTTTTAAGTGAAAATCTCCACATGTTTTATTATGGAAGGAAAAATTAAATGCGCATGGACGTCTGGATTTCGTACTTTGTATTGTATTAGATTTAAATTTAATCCTTGTTTTAGTAACGACACTCCTCTCAACCTCTGCATTACTATAGGGAATTATCAGGAGGCCAACATTATTCCAGACAGTTCACTATACTTTAAAATTCCATCAGCAATTTTCAATTAAACTCCAATGGGTATTGGTCTTAGCTGGTTTTATAACTTTATCTAAGTTTTCTGATTGTAAAGTGCAAAACTGTGACTGCAATATATCAGTTGCAACATCAGTATCATTATTTTTCATAACTAAATGAAGTAAAACTGGAAATCTATTCAAAAAATATCTTATATCAGAAAAAGATGCATTCGCTAGAGTAGAAACATCTAAAACTTTAGCATATAAAATCCCTTCATTGTTGGAAATTATGTAGTATGTAATATCTATGTATGTATGTATCATTGGAAATTTATGTAGTATGTAATCACATGCTCGGCAGTTTTGTCGTCACATACTTAGCAGTAGAATTAAAAGAAAAATAAAGGTTGGTTTTACAAACTTTGATGAAATGTCTTTAAACAGATCATGAACCATTGATTGCAAAACATGAATTAATGGAATCCTGCTTTATAGAACTGTGTTAAGAACATCGAGTGATTGCAAAATGGAGTGTACAAAAAAAAACACAATGCTTTGTTAAGGTCAGAAGCCAAATTGCTGTTCACAAGATAAACTTATGAAATGGAGATGGAACAGTAATCAGAAAATTTTCCTTGTTGAGCAATTTTTTTTTTTTTTTTTTTTTTTTTTTTAAATTTGAGAAAAATTTGAATCATCTTTATGCTTGTATTTTGTAGTATTATTTTGAGAACTGCCAATTAAATTGCTCACAAATGGAGAAATTATTTTTAACAGTGGAAGTAGTAACTGCATCTCTATTTATTTTAAGCATTTTATAACTTTCAGTAGAGTCTTTTATCTTAACTCTAGAAGCATTTACTTCCTTAAATAGTGTAAGAAATTAATTCCATTCGTCCAGGGTTCTAGATAAACATTTCTTTAAAGATTATCAGTGTATACATACAGGTTTTTAAATGTTTTCTTACTACAGTATTATGCATCTGTTGGATTGTTTCAATTTTTCCTTCCTTTTAGAAATCATTTCAAGATAATAATAAATATCAACAATGTGTTCATCCACACTTGCTGGTAAAGAAGCTGCCCACTTTTTCTGCACCTAAATTTAGCACCAGAGGTGCACCTTATAATTTGCAAATCTGAATTTTCCTTTTTTATGATACTGCAGCACACCAACTGCTTCAAGCCTACCATCACTGCTGCATTTTCAGCATCAAGTGCTAAGCGATTATCCACAGGAATTTCATTTTCATTTAGAGTTTTAATAATTAGCTGTCCTAAATTAAAGCCTGTTGAATCTTCTTCTAAAGTGGGCATAGAAAGTAACCTATACCCAATGTATGAAGACTCTGGATTACAAAAAGAAACAACAACTGGACACAGTTTTGCATCAGTATTATTGCCTCCAATTGTAGAGAGGTAGAATGGAACTGCTTAATGCAATTAGTAACTGAAGATTTATTTTTAATATAAATTCCTTTAACAATCTGGAGCTGTTTTTGCCTTTGCACTAGAGTATTTCTTAGCAATTTCACTATCGGAAAACATATTTCTAAATAAAGCTGCAGCTTGAAGCTTGATTGGTGGCAGGTTGTGCTGCAGTAAGAACATATTGAACAGACATTCTGCTTTAATAATTTTCAGCTCTTTGTTTCCACAGAAAAATTCAATATTTTGTAATTTTTCAATACAATCTATACTGTCCTTTTGTTTTTGTGCATGCTCACGTTTCAGAACATTGGCCCTTCCACCGTGCGAAATAAAAAAATTGCAACTTGTGCATGCTCACGTTCCAGAACATTGGCCCTTCCACCGTGCGAAATAAAAAAATTGCAATGACAAATGGAACACATCACAAATGTAAATGTATATAAAGTATATAAGTAATATAAAGATTTCAGATTAAAATCTTCAATTAAGTATCAATTTAAGTTTATGCATATTCAGCATGTTGAAGAATGAATTATTTATACTTAAGCTAAACATTTTTAACTTAGTACAATACTTAACTAATAAATACTTGATAATAATACTAGAATGATAGAAAAAGGACATTTTCAAAATTAAGAGCATTGGCTTTCTATGCACAAAAAGTAAAATTTGGGCAACACCTGATCTTTTATCAAAAGTAAACATGAAAACTAAGGATTTATTATAATATGCTTATTATTTCTTTAACTAGCATATCTGTGAAAATGAACAAACATTTTAAAAACCAAAACAATAAATTTCATTATTATTGTCATAAAAATTAAAGAATCTAGAAGAAGAGTGACAGTCACTTAAGAAAGCAAATTCTGCTTCTGAAAGATTCTAAAATTTAAAAATTTCATTGAATATGCTTACATATGAAAAATTTGTACTCAGCTAATTTGTGCTATTAAATTCTATAGATAAAAGATTGCTTCATGTGAAAATATATTTTCCATCTGAAAAGTTCAAAACAAATACAAATTCTACAACTGTGACATTCAAATAATGACAGATAAACATCTTTCACATTCAGATTGATCAGATTCCAATGTTAACATGTTCACTGCCATCTATATAAAAACTTCTATTTGGCAAATTTAGATTACTTGCCATTTAAAAGTAACTTGTTATTGAACACATTATCTAAATAACCAGGTACAAGTATTGCTGTAGTAAATGCATACAAAGTTTAGGTGCTTGGCATAAAGGAAAGGGCTAAATAATACACTTGATACATCGGAATGGATAATTTATTTCTCGAAACATAGGTACAATAACTAAATAAAAAGAATGTAAAACAATTTTTTTTCTTGGTTTATTCACTTCAGAAATGTTATAAATGGACTGTTTAAATTCTTGTTCAATGACTTGTGTTAGATTAAATGCTCATTTACTTTAGCGGAACTCTGCTGCCAAGACACATACACTAACTTAACTACTTTGCGCCTAACCGAAGTGGAGTGACCAATTTTGAAAAGGAATTCGAATTAGTTGAAGTAAGAATTACAGTTTTCGATCTCTTATGCATACACCAACAGGTTCAAATTCTTTTTCAAAATTAAATGCTTTGCTTACATTAGGTGAAGCAGTTTATTTAGCATATGTTGAGAGCAAATGGCTGGCATATGTGAATGGATGCACCAGATCAGTTTTGCCAGTGAATGTGTTATAATAGTCTTAAATGCAATTATCATTTCATGATTCATTGAGTACAGACTCACATTAACACCATTTACCAAATATTTGAATTTCGGATAGTCTCTTTTTTAAAACCTTCTTCAACACTAACAAAAAAAGTTTCAATATACAGTCAAACGTCCTTAATTCGGACCTTAAAGCTACAAAATTTCTGCGCATGTGTCAACGCATAATGTGTCCGTGCATGCGCGTAATACTTTTACGCATGCGCATAATATATTTACACATGCGCGTTTAATGTATAACGAATGATACAAGCTAAGCTAAAATTATCTAATTATCTATTTCAGTTAGAGTTGCAGATTGCGTTGTTCCTTAATCTTCGAATTGGATCCGGCTTATTATTTTTTTGCAGACTGTTAGAGCAATTTTATAAAAGTAAACTTGAACTTTCGATTGTGTCAAATAGAATTTCAAAGAATCTACAAAGCGAAAGCATGTTTCGATGTCCATCAAACAAAAAGTGGAATTGCTGCAAAAAATGGATAAAGGCATATGCTTTGTTTCTCTAACTATTCCAAAATCTGCTTATCAATTTCATGCTGCTCTGCGGGGGCGGGGGGGTGACGTCACGGCGCACAATGAATTGGAAGTTGATCTGTCAGCACTATCCTTATCTTCAGGGCAGATGTTTTTATTTTATTTGGCTTATAATTCCTTACTAAATGTAGTATTTCCTCTCGATGTACTCCGTCTTTGATATGATTTAAAACAAATTCCTCGTCATTAAAATTCGCTTCTGATAGTGAAGATAGTGACACAGAGGTTATTGAAAACGAAAAATTTTCGATTGACAAATTAGTTGGTATTCTCGACACAGCAATTATAGGACTTGAACAGCGGAACTTTGTAACTGAACAAGAAATTATGTCTGTTTATAGAATTAAAGAGAAAGTATTACATAAAACGAAGCAACTTAAACAGCTTACTTTGAAAGAAATGTTTAATAAAGTAAACAAAAAAATATTAAGCTTTTTTTTTTTTTGTAAATTTTGATACTCTTTAGATCATAACTACTCTTTATTTCATAAATTACGGTTTCATATTTTTAACTTTATAATTTCTGCATGCCATCTTACCAGATTTAAATTGATGATCTATAATCCAGAAAAATCAGTAATCCGGAATCGCTGAAGTCCTGACGAGTCCAGATTAACGACTTTTGACTATAATGATTTTTTTTACATGCCTATCAATCATATTGTAACTTACATCTTGAAAAACTGGTTCCCACTGCTCCATGGATCCTATGGCATCTGATCTACCATACAAACGACCATCCATTCCCACTCTTAAATATTTATTATAGCCAGATTTAAGGGCTATTTTAGAATCTGAAATAGGCACAGCTGTTAAAATTTCCTCAGGATCAGGGCCACTACCTAAATAGATTCAAAATTACAATACAGATAAGCAATTAGTAAGGCAGTTACTTAAATCATCTTATCTATAAACATTGATACACAAGAGAAAATTTATTTAAGTGCCTTTATTCAACATCAGAATTTTAGGTAAAATGCAAAATAGTGTCCGTAATATTTAAATGAATTAAGCTTTTGATTTATTTATTATTTTTATTGCAGTTTAACTAATAATAAATAAACCTTTATCAGTAGTTACAGTACCAAATAGGTTCAGCCAGTATTTATCAGAATGAACATATAATTCATCTCAAACTATTTAAATATTAATTCAAACTGATATTGACAGAATCAAAATTCTTTAAATTAGTTGATTTTTTTTTTTAATCTAATGGGTCAAAGTATTTTAACTGAATTTGAAAATACATTTTTATGTTTATATTATTATAAATACATAAAATTTATAGCATTTATATTTTAAAATACATTTATTTTGAAAAAAAAAACCCATATTGTATAGCTCTCAAGCCATAGAGTGGAAAGGGGGGAATACAGGATACCTCATAAATTAGAGCACTTTTTAAAAAATTACGTACATATATATATAATTTTTAAAACTTTCAGATACCATTTTAGTCAGATTTCAGAAACCCGAACCTTTCAGATTTCTTTATTTTTACAACAAATATAAATTTCATCTCCAATGCAGTATTTCCATCATTTTCTAAAATAAATACACTGTTCCACCTCTTATTACATTTTATAACTGAAAACATTCCAATGCAGTATTCCCTTTTTATTTTAACATATTAGTTAAAATAAAATACAATGAAATACTGAGTTAAAAATATAAATTTTGGCACACAGCTGCATAATTTTTTTAGAATGAAACATTATGCATTTAACACTTTATTATAAGGCAGAAATCGATTTCCAATCATTTGCATAATAGTTTTGAGGTTTGTTTCCTAAAGGGACTCATTATCACAATAATACTAATATGTAGGTAGGCTACTAAGAAGCAGCTATTAGATGAAATTCCAATCTTCACATTTTATTTTTATATTATTATATCAAATTTATAATGATCATTGACAAAAACTCACTTGTTTCAAACAAATTTTTATATATAAAATGACCTTATTGATTAGAAAGTAAAAAGGTTTACATAAATTTTTTAATATTAGCATTTTATTACACATGTATAAATTCTTAATAATCTATAAATGAATCAATTTACGAACTAAATAATGCATTTAAAGTTGCAGAAATTATCCCAGAAAAAAAATTTATGAACAGCTAGTCTATGATATATAAAAAATTTGATACATCAAAGGTTCCCTTTGATTCATTAAATGATTACAATACATTAAAAGAAATGAAAAAAACAAACAGGGTGTCATAATATCTTTCAAGGATTGGTGCAATGAGATATGTGCAGATATTATATATTACTAAGTACTTACACTAATTCTTTACAACATCAATTTTTTTAAACGTAAAATTACATTCATTTATAAAGCTTCAATTTTAGAGATATATCTATTAAATATCTCTAAACAGACTGACATAAATAAATGTAATACCTGGGACATGTGGTCCTCCAAGAATAAATAGGCCGCTATCTAATGCTTTGACGTAACAGTGTGGTTGGAATTCAATCGCAATGGATCCAGTAATTTCTTTAAAAATGCTGACATTCCACCATCCACCTTAAATAATTCAGAAGTATTAGTACGCATGATCAAATCATGTAAAATTTATTTCAGCAGGTTGATTCATGAAAACTTGATGTATGAAATATTCTGGGATTTCATTTTACACTCTGTAGTAAAAAATATTAGAACTAAGTTATGATGCTGGTGCAATATCACAGCTGGATGTGTTACTCATTGAAATAAAACTGCAATTTACAAATCACTTTATTATGACTGCAATTTATGCTTATGATAATAAGAGATTTTTAAGCTCATTAAAATGAGACCATTTACATGTAAAGCCATATTTCTAAACAAGTATCATTTGGAGTCTACAAAGCATGCACCAGTCTGTTTACAAGGAGAAAAATCATCAGTGTATCAGATACATATCTATGGAGCTTTCACCAAAAGTAATGATAAATGACCATAATGGGATACAATACCGATGGAGATTTATTTGGCAGCAGTCAGTAAAACTGCATATGGAAATGCCATGTCCGAAAAGCAAAGACACCTACTGAATCAGTGTTTTGCTTACTAAATAAGGTATATCCAAACTGCTTGGAGATTTTGTCATTATATTAACAAACTTAATTTATAATGCAATATTCATTTTTTATCATACTTTCTGATGGAATTTTTTTATAAATGATAAAATATATTTTTTCACCTTGATACAAGTGATTTGTTATTATAAGCTACAAAGTGATGTATTTTTTAAACTCATTTATTAGCATTAATTGAATATTTTTTCCTGTTTACGAGGGTCATTATATTCTTGTCTTCTGATAAGTTTCTGACAAACAAAGGAAGCTTGATTTATCACTTCACATTTCATTATATTTCTGATTTTTTATTATAACTGATTTTCAAACATTTAGACAAGGTTTAGCTACTTCAGTCATTTGGCATATATATAGGTTGTGAATTTGAATCCATCTAAGGTATTTTCTGATTTTTCCACTGAAAACAAATGTTTTGTTCTTTCTACTTGAGAGTTAAGAGTCACTGAAAATTTACTACTACAGAATATTTATATCAATTCAATCAAATTTCAGATATAACAAAAAAAAAAAAAAAAAAAAACAATTAGAGGGTAAAAAAAAAAGCTATTATTGAATTATCTACCCAATCCTGAAAAGAATCACTGAATAGAGGGCTATCTCTTCAAAGTACGCAACACAGAATTTTATGAAAATTTATTTATGTGGCAGTCTACTAGTGTGTTGCAAGCACATAGACAATGGCACTAGCAAGTAATGCCATTACCTATTTTGATAATGGTGGAAATGTATGTGGTTTTGATAGTCAAGAATCATGCTTATGCCTTCTTTTTGTTACAGTTAGTGAGTGGAGTTTTTCCCCCTTGTTAAAGAATCATATTGTCACTGTGCATTGTGCCTGCTAATGAAAAATAAAGTGTTGCATGCTGTCTAGTAGTAGACTGTAGGAATGCTCATCCCATGAAGTTAATTTGTGCAATTTTCTTGGATTTTTTTTTTAAAGTTAAGACAGGTTGATGTGCATATGGAGAGCAGTGCCAGTTTGCTCAGAAATGTAAACAGATTACTGAGCACAAGGACAGAAAACCAAGGGAAAAAAAAGTTAAGTGTTTTATTGTAGATGTTTACTGCATTTTTAATTTGGTAAATTTGTTGCTATTCTATGTAACTTTTAGTGTTTCATAACGAATGTTTCATTCATATTAAATTCCTTTAAGTTTTTGTTGTTTTACAGAATTTTTCGCACACTGCCATTTTTTAAAATGGCTACTGTTTTTTATGTGTTAAGTTGGAGAAAATTAATTACTAATGATTGACAACTTTCAAGAGGATTGGGTGCATAATCTGAAGGTACCAAATTTGATTTCTGATGTCTAACTCAGAAAATAAATTATCATTAATTTGTTTTTGAATTAACTCAATAACTTCAACTTACCATGTTTTGCAGCATCTTCATCAAATTCTTCAACATCTTCTACATGCTTTCTTTTCTTCTCATGTTTCGGTTTATGTTTGCTAGTAAAAAGTAAGAAACTGAAAGTCAATGGCTATTTTGATTACAGTTAATTCTTAATAAGAGAAAACTGACTGAGAACTTTTTTCTTATAATAAAAGGTAGTTCAAAATGGATATAACTTTGGGATTAATTTAAAAAGTTAAAGCAAACTGCAATTTTGTTTTAAATTTTCTTCAACTTTTATTTAATGAAACACCAAGAAGGAAAGAATTTTTATTTATTAAAATACTTTTAGACATAAAAATCAAATTTATAATCTAGGTACATACAATCATGTGGGTAAACATAGTGATGCACCATTTAAAATGATAAAGTAAAATTAAATACCTAACATATACCTATTAAACTTAAAACTATTAAACTCTTCATAAAATAATTTTAAAATGTCTAATATATTAACACACAACAAATGAAAATTCATGAAAGAACAAATACTCTGAAAATCATTTGGGAGGAGTGGAACTTGGCCAATTCCAAGTTTCATTACAATCTCTTTGCTTCGAGTGATAGAATATGAACCTGTAGGTACGTAACATTGGAGCGTTGAACATCCCCGTTTACCTGAGTGGTTTGGCCATTGAGCCTAAAATGCAAAAATTTCCCCTATAAAATCTGTAGTTTTATTGAATTATTTAAATTCTTTCATATGATTTAAATGCTATATTTGGTTAGTGTAGATTTAAGGGTGCGCCTAGGATTATCGCTAAGTTGTTTCATTTATGGTAACCTGAGTAGTTGAATGCTATGGAAGCCCTATAATGAGATAGCTGGTTGCACGATTGCAGTGAATTTGAATGATGGGAAAAGATTTAGAAAGGCTTGCTTGTGTGTTGGATGTTTGTTAAGAAGTCTGTTATTATTTTGTAGTTTATGTTGTAAAATGGCTGAATGTGGTTTCTGTATGATTTGGAACATAAGGGAAAAAAGCATTACTTGACTGGTGTGTAAATGAAGGTTTACATAGTAGCCATTCTAAGTGTCCTGTTTGTAGGGAGCAGATGCTTCGAATGTTGGAGGATACCGGCACTACGGAGGATATTTTTTACTCTTATTGTTGTAAATTTATGTGGCAACACCAGTATACAGATTCTAGTTCAGATAACTTAAGTTTTGGGATGCCGTTAAGGAATTTTGTTTGACTGAAAACATGAAAGTTTGTAAATAAGGTACAAGAATATTTCCTTTGTGTAGTGATAACATGGGTAAAAGTATATTTTAGGGTACCCCTTGGCGATTTTTGGTGGTACATGGATACCGAGTTTGTGCAATTCTTTGTCTTGTTATTTTGGCTTTGTGCGATGTAATGTACACATCAACCTATTTTATCTTAAAAAAAATTTTCAGATTTGCACAAAAATGGCATTGCACACTCCCTTGACTTTATCTATGTATACATCAACCTATTTTCACTTAAAATACATCAGAGAATTGCACAAACTAGGCTAAATTGCCTCTACACAAAGACAAAATTGCAAGACAAAGAATTGCACAAACTCGGTATCCATGTACACACTGACCTATTTTCACTTAAAAAAAAAATCCCAGAATTGCACAAAAATGGCATTATGCAATCCCTTGAGTTTGTCCATGTACACATCGATATAAGGAGCACCCAATTCTGCAGGCACACAAAATTCCTTAACAGCATCCAAAAACTTTCTAAAATTATATGAACTAGAATCCGTATATCGGCGCCGCCACATAAATTCACAAAAATAAAAGTACAAAATATACTACGTAGTTCTGGACTGTCAGGAAAATGGTTGCTAAATAAAACTTCACTTACACACCAGTCAATTAATGCACTTTTTCCCTTTCATTCCAAATGGTACAGAAATTTCAAATTAATCTTACTACACTCAGCCATTGTACCGTCTAAACAATGAAACAAGCAATGTACTTCTTAAGCAACAACTACCACAAAAGCCCTTGCAAAACATCCCATGATTCAAAATTTCCAAGCAGAATGCTAATGATTACATCATAAATAGGGTTTCCATAACATTCAACTACTCAGGTTATCATAAATGATATAACAACTTAGCGATAAACGAAACAACAACTTGGCGATAAATGAAACAACAACTTCGCAATAATACAAGGGGTACCCTAAAGTCAACTCTAACCATAACATGAATTTATTTTTTATGTTATTTCATTGTTTGATTTAAAATGTAGTTTACTGAGATTATATATTTTTTGTTGGCTGCTCTTTTGACTTTTTAAGTGAATATAGATCGATGTATATATGAAAAAATCATGACAGTGCACAATGCTTAGTTTTTTTCAATTCTCTGAATTTTTTTAAAGTAAAAATAAATCGATATATACATATATACGAAGATTGTGCAATTCTTTGGCTTAAGTCAAAGAATTGCATAAACTCAAGTGTCCATGTACCGCCAATTTTCACCAAGGAGCACCCGTAAATATATTTTTATCCTATATTTTATTCTATAAATAGAAAATCCTCATATTTACAATTAAAATAAAATCTAAAAATAAGTTTAAAATGTAATATTAGTAATAATGATAATATTTATAGATTTAAAGTATTTTCATACCAGGGCTTATTTCTAAAATTAGAAGTGCCAGAGCCCTATGGTAGATTTTGAAGGAAAAAAAAGAAATAAATAAATACTAAACTTAAAATATAATATAATTTAAATTAATGTTAATTTAATAATTTGTTAGTTAAAATTAAAATATTTAAAGAGACAGAGAAATCTAATAATACTAAATTAATTTTAAATAGTTAAATAGAAAACAAAGTATTGGACCTTGTCTTATTTGGAGCACCGGATGGAATTACAGTTTTACTTATTGCTAAGAAGCAGCTCAGCCGATCACCGTCTGAGTTTAAGCCATGATTATAAGCATAATATACTATTTCAAGGGATGACAGGTACCACTCTTTTCTTGCAGCACACCAAGAAAAAAAAAAAAAATAAATAAAATGATTAAGTCTCCACTAAGGAAAATAGCAAGAATTCTAGAAACAGTATGAGGATAAGGAAAGAAATTTAACGGAAAAGTATAGCTTTGAAAATAAAGAGGGAAGAGTTCAAGACTTTCTGATCGCGATGCCCTACCGATATAATTCTAGCCATCAAGCAGAAATCTTCTCGGAATACTTTTCCTGAATAAATTTTTCTGAATACAGCTTTTGAGACTAAACATAAGACTTCTCTGTACAAGTAACAGCAGTGGTCCTCCCGTTTGGTTACATCATTCAGAAAGTCTACATGAGCTCTGCAGTAAGAAGTCACTAGCGTGAAACGTGCACAACCAGGCTTCTTTTAAATAAGATAATTAATTTGGTTTATAGCTAATTTGGACAAATTTAGTTAGAACTAAATGTGCACGATTTTTAATTCTTTGAGGAATACAAAATTTACCCATTCTCATAAATTCAATGCATATCCTGGTGAATAAGCCTGTGACATATAATTGGGGGACTTTCTTTTCCTTAAAAGTCTCAACCTCTGTGCAAGGCTTAAGTGCGAGGGAAAGACAGGCCTGCATTCAGAAGTTAGAACTGATTTCTAAGGCATGTTTTTACTACTAAAACAAAAATTATGTGCTAAAATTGTGTTTCCTTACATAAGAGAAGTGCCGGAAGCCTTTTATTTAGGGCTCCGGTGCACTCCGGCTGAAATTATAATTTATCTCGAAAACTGAGAAGTGCCGGAGCCTCGACCGGCACAATTTAAGCTCTGTTTTATACAATTATAATGTGAGAAGTTAGAAGTTTAAACACCAGTGCCTATTATATAGTACCGGCATACCTATATACAAAATTTTAAACCACATGCATTATCTGAAATATTTTTGAACTTTGTAAGCATCATGTGTTTTACATTCATAAAATAGTAAATAGTACTCATAAAAATATGATTAGCACTCAAGACTTTCTATTTGATTAAGTTTAAAATAGCATTCCAACACCATTTACATACATTTAACCCTTCAAATAAAAAAATTCCATTTCAGCATATCGAATATGATTATGGTGAGTTACACGTGACACTTTGGTCCCATATCATAGTTCCACAGAGGAAAACTGCAATGTGATACACTAGAAACAAAGAGGTTAAGATGATAATGCAGTCAAAAAGTCTTTAATCCGGACGTCCATAACCCGGAATGATCTATAATCCGTACCTCAAAGCTACAAACTATCTGCGCATGCATAGTGTCTACTTAATAATGCATAATACTTTTACGCATGCACGTTTAATGAATAACGGACGGTATAAGCTAAGCTAAAATTATCTAATTCAGTTAATGTTGCAGATTGCGTTGTTCCTCAATCTTCTATTTGGATCCGGCTTATTATTTTTTGCAGACTGCAAGAGCAATTTTATAAAAAGTACGCTTGAACTTTCGATTATGTCAGAAAGAGTTTCCGATTCTGGAGCTGCCGAAGGATCTACAAAGTGAAAGCATATTCCGATGTCCATGAAACAAAATGGGGAATTGCTGCAAAAAATGGATAAAGGCATATCCTTTGTTTCTCTAACCATTCCGAATCTGTTATCAATTTCACGCTGCTCTGTGGGGGGGGGGACATTGCGGCCAATGAACTGGAAGTTGATCTGTCAGCAATATCTATCTTCGGCAGATGTTTTTATTTTATTTGGCTTATAATTCCTTACTAAATGTAGTATTTATCTCGATGTACTCCGTCTTTGATATGATTTAAATCAATTCCTCGCCTTTATAAATTCACAAAACCACATCAAATAGTTTCTGTTGCAATTTCTAATTTCACTATGCGTAAGGTATGTTTTTATGATGCGTGCGAAAAATGTTTAATAAAGTAAACAAAATAAATATTAAGCTTTTTTTTTTGTAAATTTTGATACCCTATAGATCATAATTGCTTTATATTTCATAAATTAAGGTTTCATATTTTTAATGCTATAATTTCTGCATGCCATCTTATCAGATTTTAATTGATGATCTATAATCTGAAAAAACTGATAATCCGGAATCGCCGAAGTCCCAACGAGACCGGATTAAAGACTTTTGACTGTATTAGTTATTTTTAAGAATTTTATATTAAAATTTGATTTATACCCTATTTTTCCTCTGGCACTTGAAAATTCCATCAAAATTATATTTGAAAGAGATTTTTCAAATTTAGAAGAGTTTTAAATCCTGAAATGAGATGATAAACCACGAGTCTCCTTCATGGTTTTACTAACAGAATTGATATTTTGTTAACATAATGTAGGAAAGGCTAATAATCAATATGTTGAATAGAGACTGAATGCACAGCACAGATAAAATGCAATAAAAATGTTAACAGAACACATATATATATGCAATTTATATCTCTTACATCCACAGTAAATCCTTACTGAATGTGAATTTGCAGAATGCAATTTTGCTTATAAATACTATCATAATTATTCTTATTTAATTTGCCCAATGCTAGAATTGCATTCATACACAATTCAATGTTCATTTATCAACAATGAATGCTTGCTGGCATCAGCACTATTGATGATAACTAACCAGAAGTTATCATCAATTTTAATAAATTTCCATTGACTGAAATTGAAACCACAGAAATTGTACACATTTCAAAAGCTACCGGTGAAGGATTTTCAGATATGAAAGGAGAAGACAAAGAATTAATCAAGAAATGATGAACAGAGAAATGGATAATCTTATAACACCAGCCAACAGTGAAAGCACATATAATTTAAAATATAAAGCACCTTTAGCTTATAAAAAGTAAATGAATTAAAAAAGGAACAGAAACTGTCTGAATTTGCAGCAGAGATTGACCAAATGAAGAACGAAGTGGACAATTTACGATGAAAGTCTGCATTCCTTATTGCAAAAATTTTAAAGAGTTATGTTGGTCATTGTCCCAAGTAAAAATTAGCAGCTTTTTTAAAAAATAATTTTACTAAGAATTTATTAAATATTACTAAAAATCTCTTCAATCAACATTTGTTTTGTTTTTCTCTTTTAATTACAGATACAGAAGTGAGCACGATTTCAGAAAGTCACCATTTCTCATACAAGTATAATCCTGCTGCAGTAACTACGCAGTTCCACCTAAATTTTTAAGAACATTCCCGGGATAGTTCAAGGGTCTTCCTTACCACCCCTCTTTTGCTACCATCAACTTTTCGAAAGGACATTGTTTGTATTTTTAGTGCACCCTAGACACACATTATACATGTCTTATCTGGGATTTGAACCTAGGCGAATCGGTATGGCAGTCAGCATCACTAACCATTATACTGGCTGGGTACTTCCCTTTTGACTGATATTTACTTTTGTTTAAATTATCTTCACTTTCCTAATTTGAATTATATAACACATTCTTTCCACAAAACGTTAACTCTGTGTAACATAACTTTTCCATATATGCAATGCATTAATGATACAATACCTGCATTTGGCATGGGTTTACTGTACTGAATTGAATTAAGTTTAAGTCCAGAATTTGCAAAATATTTCAGTTTACAAATGCAAGTTCATCAGAATTTACAATCAGATATGGACGCACTTTATTCTATGAATATTTCTACCAGTAAGATTTCTACATATTTATGCAGTACAAAAATCAGGCTTGATAATTAACTTAAGTTGTTAAAATGAATAGCCATTTTTAGCTTGCAAAGAAGCAAAAATAATTCACAGGTGCAACAGGATACTTTTACATAAAATCTTACTTCAAGAATACCTGCAGTAAGAGCTCAGTCACATGTTCTGAAAAATTCAAATAGTTGGGTTGTCCTTTTCCTGTAGTACAAATAAATATTTACTAGATGCAAAAAAGAAAACTATATTAGGTGAAAGAAAATTCTCTTCACCTTTATATTTTTCAACTACATTGCATTTAATCGCATACAATAACAACAATATTGTATACACAAAAACATTAAAAGAAAATAAAAAAAAACTACAGTTGCACTGAATATCCCTTCCATGGATAGCAAACTGACATATCATTCTGTTTAATTTTTTTTTTTCGGAAAGCTAAGTTCTCTCGGCTAGATGACACATTTCCATTTGTTGAACACGAAAATTATTCTTGGGGTATTCCGCAAATCATTTATTAGTTCAAATTCATTTCAGTGTTTTCTAAATGCATTATGTAAAATCTATTCTTTATACCTTTCATAAAATAGCTCTAGTGTACAATTAATTATTTTAAATATCGACTGCATTTTGTGAAATATTTTCATAATTTACATATATAGATGCATGCAAGTAGTATTTATTGATTAAATATATACCTTTTTTTCTCATTTTTGAAACGTAATCTTCCCCCTTTTACTTTCGTATATTCACTCATTTAAATTATTTATGTAGCATAAATTTCTTACATAAAAAACGTTTGTTAAAAGAGACAATTATTACAAAGAAGAAGTCGATGGCTTCAAATCCATGTTATAGAGCAGATGTCTTGTTTTGCACTCATTAAGTCTTTCTGACCCGATGGGCGAAAAATCAAGCTTAGGTGCGAAGAAAAGGTA